TCCGCGGCTGGGGCTCGGGCACCGGCTCCGGCTCCGGCTCCAGATCCAGCTCCGGCTCCAGGTCCAGCTCCGGCTCTGTCTCTGCTGTGGGACACGAAGGGGAGGTGGGCCCTTGCCCCTCAGCCAGACGAGGAGCAGCCAAACACAGGGGGGGCGAGGGCAGCAGCTGTGCCAGTCTGTGCTCTAGGACAGCTGTGGAGGGGAAGCCTGGGGTGAGAGAGCGGTGCCAGGACAGGAGCAGGGGTGGCGCCAGCCTGAGAACGGAGGGGGGAGGTGGCCACAGGGCCTTTTCTCATGACACGAGCCTAGGGCCCCATCACCAAGGTCTCACCTCCGAGCACTGCTGCCTTAGGGACTGACGGGGTGGGAAGGAAGGTTCCAGGTCTGGGCAGATGTGTGAGACGCCTGCACCCCGTTTCTTGCTAAAACCCTGGCCCCTCCCCCTGTGCTCACGGTGCCCCTGGGACTAGGGCTGGTGGGCACACGAGGGCCAGCACGTGGAGCTGCAGGCTGGGACCAGCAGGGGCAGAGCGGCTAAAACAAAAGCCCAGGGTTTGCATCCCGCGGCCGAAACGATGAAGTGCATGGTGTGGTGGGCTCACGGCACTGACTGGTGTCTGCGCCCAGCCAGTGTGACCCAGCTGCACGCCCACAATCCGGGGCTGCAAACAGCGGCCACACCAGCTTCTCAATCTGTGACACGCTTCCTGAGGTGCCACACAGGCGCGAGACCCAGGTGGTGAGCTGGGGGGAGGGTCTAAGGCCGCATTTGCTCCTTAAAGCTGGGAAGGCACATCCGTAGGGAAGGCACATCCGTGGGGAAGGCACATCCGTGGGGAAGGCACATCCATGAGGCCAAGCGTGGAGCCAGCTGGGTGTGTTGGGTATCAGCGTGGCACGTGGGCACATCTGTGTGTGGGGGGCCAAGGTCCTCTCTAATACAGTGGGGCCTTGACTTACGAGTTTAATTCGTTCCGTGACGGAGCTCGTAACTCAAATTACTCATATGTCAAATCTTAAAGTGAACGAGTGAGACACGTGATGCTGGGCTGATGTTGTGGCGTTCACTGTGACGTTC